TTTTTTTAAACCTTCCCTCCTACTGCCTTGCCCAACAGCTGCTGGAAAAGCCCAGAGAGACTTCGAGACCCCAGGGGCAGGGTCTGAGCCTGGTGCGCAGGGTCTGAGTTCAGGCCTGAGCCACTGAAGGCCTGCAAAGACCCCCAGTGCTGTGGGGAGAGGGAGGCCAGAGAGATACTTAACATCTTTCCTGAGCCAGCCTCTGGTGTGGTGGATTTTGCTTGACTCAGTACGTTTACTGACAGCCCTGGTGGCTCACTGGTTAAGAGCCATGGCTGCTAACCAAAAGATTGGCAGTTCGAATCCACTAGCCACTCCTTGGAAACCCTAGGGGCAGTTCTACTCTGTCCTATAGGGTCAGCTATGAGTTGGAATGGACTTGACAGCAATTTTTTTTTAAATAGGTTTTAATGTGTGCGGGGCCCTGTGCCAAGCAGTGACCAAGGCCAACCTCCTCCCTGCCCTCCCAGGACTCACAATCCAGGGGAGAGACAGATGGCAGCTATATGATCACATAAATGAATGTGGAATTACAGCAGTGTAAGAAGGAGGTGGCCTGGGGCGGCACGGACCGGATGTACCATTCGTTGATTGACTTAGCAATATTATCATGCTCGTCTTTTCACGTCCAAGCACACATTTCATTAAAAAAACACACAAACAAAAAAAAAAAACCTCATCCTATGATGATATACTGCCTGACAATATTATCTAGGCTAAGACTCCTATTTTAGACATTGCATGGGGGCAGTGGTGGTTCAGTGGTAGAATTATCACCTTCCAGGTTCGATTCCCGGCCAGTGCACCTCCTGCAAAGCCACACTGACTGTCACTGGAGGCTTTCATGTGGCTAGGAGGCTGAACAGGTTTCAGTGGAGCTTCCGGACTCAGATGGACTAGTAAGAAAGGCCTGAAGATCAACTTCTGAAAATCAGCCAACGAAAACCCTATGGATCCCAATGGTTTGATCCACAACCGATCATGAGGATGGCACAGGACCGGGCAGCATTTCGTTCTGTTGTGCATGGGGTCACCATGACTTAGAGCTGACTCGAGCCAGTTAATAGCAACAACAATCACAAGGACACCCATGTGTGACCTGGGGCACGTGGCTTAGCTCCCTGAGCTTCAGTTTCCTCACTTGCAAAATGTGATCATAACAGCCCCTCCCTTTTGTTTTGGCAAGGTTTAAGAAGAACACAGCTGAAGTGTTTAAAACAGGGCCTGCGTGTGGTTGGGGCCCAGGGGACATTAGTCTTTCTCTCCAGCCACGGCCAGCAGCAGCGGGTGACTCTCAATCTCTCCCCACCACCACAATCCTGGGCATCATCTACTCTCTTTCCTGCCGGTGCAATAGGGGAAAATTAGACCCAGCTGTGGCTTTCCTCTCCTTGTCCCCTCCCAGATTTCTAGCAAAGCTTGTACTTTGCAAAACTCAAAAAACCAAACCAGCTGCCATCCAGTTGACTCTGACTCCTGGCGACCCCATGTGTGTCAGAGTAGAACTGCTCCATAGGGTTTTCAATGGTTGATTTTTTGGAAGCAGATTGCCAGACCTTTCTTCCAAGCTGCCTCTGGGTGGACTTGAACCTCCAACCTTTTGGTTAGCAGCTGAACATGTTTGCTGTTTGCACCACCCAGGGACTCCCTTGCTCTCTGCACCAGGCACTTGTTACATGTCTGCATTGTAAAACCAGAGTTTGGGTGGTTTTTGATCTGTTCTCATCTCGCACTTGGCTTGTGTCTGGCTTCCAAGGCCAGGCCAGCCAGCTCTCAGATTTTCAGAATTCTACCTGAAGCTGCCAGGAACCAAAATAGCTGCTGAGCACATGGCCTCTGGCCTGAGCTTGTGAGGATCAACAAACAGAACTCCCACCTGACAGTCTAGAGAACTCTGGCCTCAGCATTAGGAGATCTGGTGGCACAGACAGTCCTTCGTCAGTACTTTGAGAATGAGGAGGAGGGGTGGGAAGGCCACTGGAATGAGGGTCAGAACCAACTCCAAGGTCCAGCCCTGTACCTGTGGACATGGCCACAAACTCAGTTTTATTTTCCCTGCTGTTTTAATTTTTTTTAATTTTTTTTTTTGAGAATATACATAGCAAAACATACGCCAATTCCACTGTTTCTACACGTACAATTCAGTGACATTGATTACATTCTTCCAGTTGTGCAACCATTCTCACCCTCCTTTTCTGAATTGGTCCTCCCTCATTAACATAAACTCGTTGTCCTCTAAGGTTCCTATCTAATCTCTCGAGTTGCTGTTGTCACTCTGATTTTGTATAGATAGTTCTTAAAACAGTGTAATCCTCAAGGCAGACATATTTTACTAGTTAAGCTAAACTATTGTTGGTTTCAAGAAGACTTCAGGGGATATTTTTGGTTTAAGATTTAAAGATTGTCTCAGGGCAATAGTTTCAGGGGTTCATCTAGCCCCCATGGCTCTAGAAAGTCTGGAGTCCATGAAGATTTGAAATTCTGTTCTGTGTTTTTCCCTCTTCTGATCAGGATTCTTCTATAGAATCTTTGATGAAAATGCTCAGTAATGGTACCCGGGCACCATCCAGTTCTTCTGGTCTCATAGCAAAGTAGGCAGTTGTTCATGGAGGCAATCAGCCACGCATTCTATTTCCTTCTACTATTCCTGACTCTCCTTCTTCCTCTGTTGCTCCAGGCAAGTAGAGACCAATAGTGGTGACTTGGATGGCCACTTGCAAGCTTTTAAGACCTCAGGCTCTACCTAAGGACTAGGAGATAGAACAGAAGCACTGAACACATTATTAGGCCAATTAACTGGGATGTTCTGTGAAACCATGACCCTAAACCTCCAAACCAGGAAACCAAATCCCATGAGGTTTTTGGTTGCACATAAGCAGCCTCAGCAGCTACTCTTTTTTTTGGTGGTGGTGGTTGTGAGTATATCTATCACACAACTTTTGCCAGTTTAACTTGTTACAGAGTGACAGCAATTACAATAAATCAGCTGTGCAACCCTACCCTTAATCAATGCAATTTTTCCATCAACGTTAACCCCTTCTCTTCCCCTCCCTCCCTGTCCTGGTAACCACTAATACTTTGCTCTCTATGCTTTTGTCTTTTCTTGTCTTTTTATATAAGTGAGGTCATACAATAGCTGTCCTTTGGTGATTGATTTATTGCACTCAACAAAATGTCTTCAAGCTCCATCCATACTGTAGCATGGATCAAGACTTCATTTCTCCTTCTGGCTGAGTAGTATTCCGTTGTATGTATGTACCACATTTTGTTTATCCATTCATCCGTTGATGGGCATTTAGGTTGTTTCCACCTTTGGCTATTGTGAGCAGTGTTGCAATGAACATTGGTGCACAAGTCTCTGACTTTCTGCTTTCTAGTCTTTTGAGTATATACTAGGTCCCGGCTATTTTTGGAGGAACTCTGGCCTCTGATGAACGCGGGTGGGGGGCCTACTGTTTGCCAGGTGGGTGCCGGGCTCAGGGGACATGGATGTGACCAAACACACCCTCTGTCTGCCCTGGAAGCCTGACCTTATGTCAGCAGAAATGGGGAATAAACAAGAAAAGCATTGAATATGTTGTCTTCGATTCGACTCACAGCAACCCCATGTGACAGAGTAGAATGGCCACATAGGGCTTCCTAGGCTGTAATCTTTATGGAAGCAGATTGTAGGCCTTCCCCCCTTGGAACCCGCTGAGGGGTTCAAACCTACTCGGTTAGCAGAAGAGCAATTAACAGTTGTGTCACCAGGGCTCCCTGCATTAAACTTAAAGGAAGTGTTTTCTGAATGTGATAATTGCCATGAAGAGGCTGAAAAAGGAAATAAGATGGAGCCACTGGAGGCTGGGGGAGGGTGGCTTCAGCCAGGGAGTCGGGGAGGGACCCTCGAAGGAAGTGACATTCAAGCTGAGGCCAGGCTTTTGGGTGTCTGTGGAATGCCCATGCGGAGGGAAGAGCAAGTGCAAAGGCCCTGGAGTGGGCTGTGTTAGGCCCTTAGAGGGAGTGGGAGCTGGAGTGGGATGAGCCGGGGGAGACGGCAGGAGAGGAGGCCGGAGGTCTCTGGGGCCACATCAGCCTCCTGAGCAATGTGGGAGCCTGTGGAGAGCCCTCTAGTACCACCTAACTGTGGAGGCCAGTTTTCACCTTATTCTCTTGCCCCTTCAACCTCCCAGAGTGAGCCCTCAGTTTCCTTACCTGTGGGGTGGATACACCTTTCTCACAGAGAGTTCGGGTCCCCCAGATAGTTCACCGGCAGCAGGCACACAGTGGAGTTCCCAGATGATGGTAGTGGTGAACAAGCTTGGCTGATAACTGAAAGGCTGGAGGTTTGAGTTCGCCTAGAGGCACCTTGGAATAAAGGCCTGGCAATTCATTTCTGAAAACTCAGCCATTGAAAACCCTATGGGGCACAGTTCTACTCTGACACACATGGGGTCGGCAGGAGTGAGGGTCAACTCCACGGCAACGGTTTTTTTTGGCCAATGCAATATCTGGTCTTTATGGGAAAGAAAAAACTTTACAGGACATTTTGAACGTGCAGGGTTTCAGTGGGCTAACTGGTGGGGCACCAGCTTGTACCAGAGCTAAAGAAAACCTGGTTTAAAACTTTTTTTTTAAGGCATACAGTAGGCGCTCAATGAACTCTTGGGGTAAAAAAATGACCGGGCTTGGTCGGGCGGGACGCACTGGCCCCATCCTACAGGTGGGGAACGGGGCGCACGGTGCACTTCGGGGCTACGGGACGGGGGCGCGCACGCTGCGCCCCGTGCCGGGGGCGCGCACGCTGGCCTGTGGGCGGGGTCCG